CTTGATTAAATGCATTTTGTCACTCAATCAAACCAGGTGAATTTTTTTCCAAAACTTTCGAACCATACGTTAGTCTCCAAAAGTATAGCTTGATCCGCCATATTGACGAAAAGGTACGCTTTATCCTATTTATCTCTCACACTTCAGTACTTGTTGATCCTATCGTATATGACTTCATTAAAAATAAGATTTTTATCCGCGATTCCATTTCTTTTGGGGGTAAATACAAAAGAGACAATGTTTTCATCGATAAATATATGTTTAATTGTATGAAAGTTTTATTATCATGGCAAAGAATAGAGAATCAAGGTGATTTTCTCAACTTCCCTTGATTCGAATTAGAAATGGAAATTGGAAAATTCAGAATACCAAAATAATAATTATAATGATGATAATAGTTCATGTTTTTATTGGACGGACATAAGTTCAAATAATATGTACAGGTACTAATATTATTATAAATGTGAATGCAGGTTTGTTGTCGGTCTTTCACGCAAAAACTACTGAACCAATTATAATGAAATTTTGTATACATATTTTTAACTATATTAGGAAGGAGGCAACAAAAAATTTGTGTTGTGAGGACTATCATCCCACTATAAATCTGTTTTGTACAGAAATTCACAGGACACTTGATGGTCAATGGAGTAAGGTACGTGTTGATGAGCCAATCCTTGGTTCGAATTCCGTACTCCACTTACTTTTTTTTTTCTTTTTTCGAAGTGATCATAATTATTGAAAAAAATACTGTGGAAGCATTCACTGTTGGGGCCGATAGTGATCGCTATTTCAATGATACTAGCTCTCGGCCAGATATTTTCTGTATTGCTATAAATATGAAGGATACTATACAGGGCCGTCCGCATGGGGAAGGGGGAAGTGACCAATATGGCGGACGAGTTATGTAAGTATGATCCGATTCTTCTCAAAATTGGTATCTGGGGGTTTTCGGGGTCGGAGATTATATGATTCTTTCAGAAAAAATATGAAGAAGATACAATGCCATTTGAAGAAAAAGTTAACAATCGCTGTAGTTCGAATTGAAAGAAAAATATTAGTGTCACCTAGTAGTAGTTGATTAATCATTTCATTTGCTTTTGCTAACAATCGAATTGTTAATAGCGGCGATATGGTTTGGGTCCTTTTTTGGCAGTCAGCTTGTAGTCTACTCATTTTTTCAGTTCTGATGAGTTTATTTTCTTCTATTTTTCTCCTTTCTATCACTGAAAAAACAGCGATTACGGTTCTGTATATTGTGATACGATCCAAGGATTTTCTAATTTGAATTGCATTAGATGTATTTTATCCGAATGTCAAATATATCTGGACTCTCTACGTGCTTGCCTCCGCCGCATTCACCAGGGAAAAGGGCAGCGTCCCTTGAAGCCTTCAGAGTGGTCATAGAGTGCCAGGGTATACGAGGAATGTATAGGATATCCATTAGGGATGGGTTTATGTGATACTTCCGAGATACATGAAATAAAATCCTCATCCATACAGAGAGTGGAGAAACCAAGAGTTCCTAAATGTACTTGACACTAGCTATTTTGACGTTTTTGTGTATGAGAGTACGTACACAGCAGTGCGACAGTGAGACATAACCAAAAACGGTTCTGAAGTAAATCATATGTTTTGTAAGACAAGGACAAGAAGATGTTTTCCGCTTGGATGAAGGCTTCTCGCATCTTCCTTCCTCTACATTCTCAAGGAGTAGTTCATCCATATATATTTCTTCGTCTTTCATTTTTGAATGAAGCTCAATTTATTGCTGGGCGATTTTAGCTTTGTCGATGCTAGCGATGAAACCTGGTGGCGTTATCATTGGTCGATTTGAATTGGTGAGCAACTATTGACCAATAATATCATTACACGCTCCTTCTCTAGCATCGCCAAAGCCAAAATCGCCCAGCAATAAACCAAGCTTGAGAGTGCATCAGGCGTCTCTTCGAGTAGGAAAAAGGGTACGGTGAATCTTCTTGAAATATAAAATGATATGGATGAAGGACCTCAATGGAGGCCGATGGCAAGTGGGTTTGTACATATATACCAACGAAATACATATACTATTAGTATGAAATGATAATAAACTGAGCGGAATGTATCAATACCTACTTACGTGCATCGTGGATCAGTTGAATGAGTTTTGTAGCAGACATTTTCAGAATAGGGTGAAATCGATTGATTACAACTAATAAAATAGAAATCTTGAATGGAATATTTTCACTTTTTCAAGAGTGGTAGAGGTAATAAGTATCAAACCATAATATGGCTGTACAGAGTTTAGCGGTCGACTCACTATAGATCGCCTTTCATATTGTTGGTCCAGCCATCGGAAGGTTATTTTCTATAACAACAAATGGTGCACGGGTTTAGTGTTCTCATCTTGTCAGCTTCTTCTCGCACCCCAAAATCCACTATGAGTTGTAGAGGTGCCGCAATTTTCAACTACGCATAAGTTGACAGTTCAGACTTCATTTAAACTTTGAAGGAAGCGATACACAAACAATTCATCTCTTGAAATAGGTACATCAGAGTTCCACAAAGTGACTATGTTTCACTTGATTTTTAGTATTTTTACAGTAGGAAAGAGCACAAACTTTTCCCAATTTTCTCAATTTGACAAACCTTTGAAATTAATGTCATGCACGTTCGTGTACTGTCAGTTCCCGCTTTTTCCATCAATTTATTTGTGGTTATGTATGCCAGTGTTTTTCATAGTGAAAAAACAACTTTGTATATTAGGGAATCATCATTTTGAGACAAATTGATTTGTTCTAAATTTGTTCTACCCGTCATTCGGTTGCCCCCTTACGAGCAACACTCAGAAGTCTTCAAGAGTCATGTGCGAACAAGGAATGACGGGGTCTTCCCTTTTAAGCTGTGGTCCCAAACACTTTCTTGAGCCATCAGAACAATTTCTGCATTCGTTTGGATTCGAAACCACGACCAAATGAACCACCTTTGGCATTACAAAAGTTCATAGAGGATATAGACGATGATTCAAACATCTTCCAAGGTGAAATTCACGGCGTTCAGGAGTGTACGTAGTTGAATTTGGAGAAACATATGGAAACATACGCCAATATGATTATGTCTGATAACCTCTATATGGTCATGGAATTCCTGAGTTCTGATATGATCAATTCTAAGAGGGTTCAGAATGCCATGCAATGGAAATGCAGTTATAGATATTGGAGTGGAAGTAATGAATAGCACACTCGCCAGAAGAGGCATCTTTTATAAGTCCATCAGGACCCTTCGATTTGAATCATTGATATAATTGATTGAATCAAGGAAAAAGAAGTTGAAGAGATTTCGGACATCCTGATGATTGTATCGTATTGTATGCATTTTTAATTTTTTATGTCTTGCGGCGCACAGAAGGGAATTCCTATAATGTTCCGAGAACATCGTGCATACCTAGGGAGGATAGGGACAAGAGGTAGGTATTGAAATTTTGTTTTTAACTTTTGGAAATTATAAGTTTTTGGAAATATTTCTTTTGGCAAAGAATTCTAAAGCTTTACTATTCTATAGACAACCGACTTTCGATAAAGATTTGTTCGACATATCTCTTGGTTGACTTCTCGTGGAAGTATCTAAAGACAAGTGGAAAGTTGCCGATTTTCCTACGGTGTTCCAATGAAGTCAGAGAATTAGTGAGTGTGGTATCTCTCACCAGGCGAATTGCTCTTCTCTTGATGGAATCTGAGAGCTGACCATCAGCGATGTGGGTGCATAAACGAAGAGATTTCAGCCAATAGAAGATTGATTTTGGTATATAGGCTGATTCAAAATTCGATGTTGATTTTTAAAGACATAATGTTAGGGACACTCTTTCTTCTAACAAACATTTGTCCTACAATGCACCCCCTCCGAGCTACAGCCAGTGTGGACCCTCCTGCAATTTTACCAAAACTGGTTTAACATGATTCTTGAATCAAGAAGGAGATATAATATAATTGTTTTTTTTCATATTTCGGGGGTCCGACTTTTAAGTCGAAATCCTGAGATTGAAGTCCGGGGTTCGACTTTGAAGTCGAGGGTCCGACTTTGAATTTGACATCACGAGATTAAACTCGGGGGTCCGACTTTGAAGTCGGGATCCCTAGAATATAGTCACAAAAAAATAATAGGTAAGACTCCAAGGCCGTTGTATTTCACAGTATATTTCCACATCTCAATTACAATGACTAACATTCTGAGCTTAAACAGATGTCAGATCAGACGAGTGACGGTCTCTGCCCCTTGAGGAAGAATATGCATCAAATGGGCATCTATACAGAAGAACCCATAGCGCCTTGAAGACTCAACCTTCTGAGAGCACTAAACTCACACGAGGTTTTTCTAACGAAATATTTATTGGTGAAGAGGCTGCTAAACATCATCAAGGTAGCGAACCTGTTCACTTGAGTCAACAGCATGATCAGCAATACAATAGTCCAAAGGCTGCAGTTTTTTATCTTCGAACCCTGACTGATCACTCTGCTATCAATCAATTATTCAACCATCTCAATTGGTTTCCGTCCTGAGGACAAATGGAATAGTGATAATATTTCGCCAATCGGACTTCCAATGATGCCGTTATTAGGGGGATATCATTGTGTGTGTGAGCAACGTAGAAAACTTTCTGCTGGCTGGCTCTCTCATAGCACCCGTCGCTTGGCTATCTGGATCATTGTCATCATCATGGGAGATATCATAAGATTGCGAGTCAAATTGTTCTCTCGATTCTTCTAATCCTTCTTCTCTGTCTTCCGTACCTGACTGTGCTATTTCTCCATTTATAATTCTTGATTCTTCTTCTTCTTTTACAGCTCCTTGATTGTCTTCGGACTCATCATCTATGAATGATTCCGCCTCAGAAATCTCACCAAACTCTTACCATAATCTCTGAACATTTCGTTTTCTTCGTATGAAATTTTGATGAGAACATTGTCAAAATGATCCGAAGAAAACAATGAGAATTAGTAACTCACCTACAAAATCGGGATACCTACTCAGACAGTTACGTTGATAGTGTTCTGGGGTATAGTGTACCCTAACCGCCTTCATTCACGACACCTTATACACACATTCACACACACACACACACACTAACTAATTCACACATATGCAAATGATTCTATTCATATGGTCTTCGACTACTGAGCGTTAGAGATCGCTAAATTGTGAAAATTTTATTCAATTGGTGTTAATCTGGGTGTTGGGGTATGACATATCCCAGCACACTAACGAAAGGTTAAAATAAATTATGCTAATAAACCTTGAACATTTCGATATATTACAGTGAAGTTCAGAACAGGTACAAACAGTTCAATTACGAACCAGATTATAGAATGTTTCAGATGATTTTGAACAATGTCTCTTGTCATAATGACTAGTTAGGATATGAGCAGGAATTATTCTCCTCACACTTCTTCTATATCATAGGAATTTCCTATCGTGCGCTCCAAGAGATAGAAAAAATTAAATTGGAAACTCTCACTTCAATGAGCATTATGTACCTCCAATTCAAACGATCAGACTTGGCTAAATTGGACACAAGGGTATGATTAGTCAGATATACATTTTTTGATTTTTTCATTTCAGCAAAATTCCTGGTACTGAAAAATTGCACTGCATAATAAGTTAGCTTCAAAGTTGTGAGTGAAACTTCATTTGTATTGAATTACAGTGCAGTTATTCATCACATTCAGTTTCAAATCACTTCCAGTAGAGTACTTTCAAGTTCATGTACTAAACTCACTGCCTTCGTGTCAATAATATCGAGAAAGGACAGTGAAATTATGCGGAGGATGAGGTATTTTAACTTGGCAACAATGTGTAAGCGCCAGTTGCTTCATCTCTTCCTCTTGAACAACAATTAGTCATAACATCATAACTCAAACCAAACCATATGAAGAGCTTCTTACTGTTAGAGTTCAAAGTGAATTGCGTGATCAGCAGTGAATTACAATCAAATGATCACCGACTACATAGTAATTTCGAATCATGGCATTCCTTGCATCATCTTGCACATAAGATCAATCAAGGAATTCATATATATGAATTTCCAGGCCAGGTAGCCGTGCGGACAGAGTGTCCATATTCTAATCCGCATTCGCTTGCCGGTCGTGGGTTCGATTCCCGTCGACTGCAGAAATTTTTCTGATGGCCCAAGAAAGTGTTTGGGATCACACGTTAAAAGGTAAGGCCCCCGCCATTCCTTGCTCGCACAAGACTCTCGAAGACTTCTGAGGGTTGCTCGTAAGGGGGCAACCGAATGACGGATAGAACAATTTTAGAACAATTAAAAAAAAAATCATTTTTGATATAGAAATGCTAAATTCCAACAAAAACAAAGTTGTTTTGTGAACAATTCGTTATAGCACAAAAAATTATGCTAGAGTAAAATCTCACTTACACAATTGCCAGCCCGGTACTGTTCTCCGATGGTCATTCCCTGATGTATATTAGCTATCGATCCAGCAAATGTTGCGTGAAATATCATCGACGACCGACAGAAAAAGCTCTCTAGTGATCGAAAATATGTCTTAATTTCGTTGGTCTGGAGAAGGACGATATAAATCGCGCGGCCCCTATATGCCCTATCCCCTATCGATTCTTACCCTCAAGCCCCATTAGAGCCTTTATTGAACTTTAAAAACGGACCGGCCAAATGACTAAATGGCACAGAGAAATAAATCGACGACTAACATGGTGGAGTGGCCGTTTATAAGTATAGCGAGTGTCACTTCTGGATTTAATTGATTTAATAGGATTTGGTTCCGATTCCGAATGTAACAAATTCATGGTTTCACTATACAAAAACGCTATGCCACCTATAACTTCTTTTGAATCTACTTTACTCTCGGCATCCCAACTTTTGAAGTCAGACCAAGACTTCAATCTCGGGATCTCGACTTTAAAGTCGGGAGTGCGAACTGAACCAGGTGACATGTTATAAAGTACCACCGCCTGTAACTCTTTAATTTTTGACAGTAGAAAAATACACCAGGAATAAGGAAGTGTATGAATTTTGAATTCAACACCCTATATCTTTCAAAGGAAGGAAGGTATGCTCCTCGTCCTTTGAATTTCACTCCACTTTGAGCAGTATGGACTTCTACCAAAGATCACCCAATATCTTCCCTCACCATAAGAAAGACCTTTCGAAGAGCTTTCCAAAAATACCTCACTCAATATAATTGTCTCCTTTATTTTTCGAGGGTCCGACTTTGAAGTCGATATCCCGATATTGAAGTCGGGGGTCCGACTTTGAGGTCGAGGTTCCGACTTTGAAGTTGGGATCACGAGATTGAAGTCGGGGGTCTGACTTTCAAGTCGGGATCCACAGAATAAAGTCAGGATTCGAAAAAAAAAAGTATAGGTGGGCCTTCAACGCCTTCGTATTTCACAGTCTTTTTCACCTTCTCAATTACAGAGACTAACGATATTCTGAGCCTAAGCAATAAACTCACCTGAGTTTTTTCTAGCGAAATATTTGATGAAGAGGCTGCTAAACCTCATCAAGGTCGCGAATCTGTTCACCTGAAGAATACAATAGGCCCAAAGGCTTCAGTGTTTTGGGCTTTGAACCCTGACTGGCCCTTCTGCTATAAATAAATTAATCAACCCAACCAATTGGTGTGGGCCTGAGGAGTGAGGACAAATGGAATAGTGATAGTATTTTGCCAATCGGACTTCTAATGACAAATTTCCAAATTCTATATGAATTTATGCAAGGCCATTCAATTTTGTACAAAGAATGACCTCTTGTTGAAACATGATAGAACATATCATTTCCTAGGAAAAACGGAAAAACCATACCTACCAGACTTCGAATTCAGATATAAATGAGTATACTCTATAAGAAATATGTTCAGACTACCAGATAACCTCAATATGTTACATCCTGAAAGTTTTGAACCATTTAAATCAAATATTAGACTAATTTTTTTCGTCACGAAAAGCTAAAGAAGGTGTACAAAGAATAATCTATGCATATTTGCAATTTGACTATACAGGGTGGGCCACCAGTAACGCCTCGGTCTCTAGAAGGCTAACCTCTTATCTTCTTGGAATTCTTCCTCTCTAGGAAGTTGCATGTCAACATAGGCTACCATTTGAAATTATTTTGAAACATACAGGATGTCCCCAAAAATCACAAAACACTGAAGTTGAACTTTTTTCAATCGAACACCCTATATATTATTTCATTTTGAGATTCTCCCTGGTGAGCTGATTTCAACAATCAATCATACTTGGGGTCTAGCAGTTATGATTACTGAGATATAGGGTGTGAGAAATCGAGATTTTCCATCAAGTTCAGGAATTTTTTGTGTCTAAACCATTCATAATTGGTCAAAACGGCTCACATGTCCCTATCTCAACTTTTGATCAACTATCTACGGACATTTAATTGAAACAAATACAGGGTGGTGCAGAATTCAGAATCTTGATCACAATTAAATATCAGTAGATAGTTAATCAAAAGTTGAGATAGGGACATGTAGGCCGTTTTGACCAATTATGAATAGTTTCGACACAAAAAATTCTTGAACTTGGAAAATCTCGATTTTTCACACCCTATATTTCAGTAATTATAACTGCTAGACCCCAAGTATGATGGGTCGTTGAAATCAGCTCATCAGGGAGAATCTCAAAATGAAATAATATATAGGGTGTTCGATAGAGAAAAGTTTAACTTCAGCGTTTCATGGTTTTTGGGGACACCCTGTATGTTTCGAAATAATTTTAAATGGTAGCCTATGTTGACATGCAACTTCCTAGAGAGGAAGAATTCCAAGAAGATAAGTGGTTAGCCTTCTAGAGACCGAGGCGTTACTGGTGGCCCACCCTGTACATGGTATCCTGAAAACGAATCGATTCCAGACATAAGATATAGGACCTTATATATTACTTAAATTCGCCAAGGAATCACATTCTTCGATATGTACTTGTCAGAAAGTGACATTGTGCATTCATTGTGCATTGCTTGAAAAGTGGCAAAGAAATTGAGAAATTACTTTGATTTATTTTATCCTATGAAGACTCAACTACACTGAATTGAATAACTAAAACATTATTGAATGAATAATGATCGGCTTAGTTACGGAGTTGCTCATGCAAGTATAGATGTGGATTGATTCACGAATGGTATATTTATGTTAATTTGATCAAATTTTTATAAAAATATTTCTTTCCATTATGTGATTCTAGATGAATTGCCTTTTCAACGATATTAAAAATACAGTCGACGACAATAGAAAGTTGGCACTCTAAAAAAACTTATTACTGTGACTATTTCACTCATCACATAATCTGACCAATCACAAGCCAGACAACGTGTGATTATCGCGAATACATTAGCTGTCTATCAATTTTGATGTTGATGGTTGTAACCATGGATACCGAAGCAAAGTCTGTCAGTTTGGCATAAACCAATTATGGCTGTACTTGTCAGAATTAATCACTGATTAATAATGAATGATTGCTTTCTGTGATAGACAAAATAGTGAAATTTCATCTCTGACAGGTTATAAAATGTCACTTTCCATAAATTACTCCACTTCACATTTTATGAGTTACTTTTCTTCCACAGGAAAAAATCGAGTACTATTTTCCCGGATATTATCACATATATACAGGGTGTCCCTAGACCAGTGGGACAGTTGAATATCTCCTGAACCAATAGGAATTTTCAAAATATTATGATTTCACATCATATCGCATTATGAGTGCTAACTTCAGGAATGACTATATTTTATACGAGGGGCGCAAGAAAGGCTCACAAAATCGAATATCAATTTTTTCAAATGAAACACCCTGTATTTCATTGCATTTTCATATTCTCCTTGATGAGCTGAGTTCAACGACCTAGCACACTTGGGGTCTAGCGGGAATGATTTCCGAGATATAGGGTGTGGAAAATCGAGATTCTTCATTTCTGGGAATTTTTTGTGTCGAAACTATTCATTATTGGTCAAAACGGAATACATGTCGAGATCTCAACTTTTGATTAACTATTTACTCGTATTTAATTGAAACAAATACAGGGTGGTGTAGAATTT